GGGAACAACAACAAAAAAAACACCAGAAAAACGCTGGCCAACTTGATGTTTGAGAAAGCGTGCCTAAATGGCAGCAAGCCGTAAAAAGGGAGTCTTTGGGGAGGTCTGATCCTTCCTTAAGGCAGATGTGTGACGGCAGGACCGGCACATCCGCTTCGTTTCCCAGCTGGTACCGGCAGAGCACAGGGATGCAGGTTGCTCAAACGCCCAGGTGCAAGCAGGGCAGCTTCATACACATCCCTGCTCCGTGTTATTGGTTTCGCGTGAAGGGAGGCACCTTGGGTTTCGTCTCCCTTTCCACTGAGCGCGCAAGGATCTCTGCGCCCCGTCACGGCAGAGCACTCCGGCTGCCGGGGGCAGGCGATGGGCCCCTGTGCTTGGATGTGGATCCCAATTTCTCCGCAACTTGGGAGTGTTTGGATCTGGATTTCACCGTGCTCTCATGTAGAGTTTCCTGGGGACAGATGAACTTCTCAGCTGGGTACTGGCATGGCTTTATCCCTCTCACTCTGAGAAGGAGCTGTATGTACATGCCAGTATCATCCTGCTGTTTTAAGCCTGTGACTCAATCTCTTTGCATACACTGTCATAAATTCTAATTTATCTAAGGACCTTTGCTCTGTAAGCTGATGCACTTCTGCATCTTCTTGGAGCCTTATTCCACCACACATGGCCACTGGTAGGTGATTTTCATTTTTGGTTAGTATTCCTGATAACAAGAGGCTGCTAAGTTGTCTTTCGCCAAGGGATAGCCAGTTTTCCACTCGCTTTGCTAAAACACCTTATAGAAGTGGGTGCTGACTTATTTTTTCGGTCCAATGATGGGTGCCCTGGCCGAGCCAGTGCTTTGAACCCATCCACACAGCTTGCCAAAAAAGCCTGTGGAAGTCTTGCCTGGCAAATTGCCAGTATAAAATTATAAAGACCTGTTTGGTTTTCTGGCAATTCACTTCTAGGCACCTGGAAAGTTCACTGGGTTTTGCCATGCGTGGTTGACTCAGTGCTTATCTTCTCAGCAAGACTTTCCGTAGGTTGCCTCTGCTGTAAGCTCCAAGTCCAGCACCCACGTGAGCTTGAGTTTGATCAATGGAAAATTTTCCCTTTCTTAGCCCTCAGAGGAAAAGAAAACCATCTCTCTGATGTGTGTTTCCATAAGGGAACGCAGGCTAAGGTTGATATCTATAGCTGCCCTGCTTTCCCCATTACTGGCAGTATGGAGGAGCACAACATCTTTACGTAGCATGAAACCGTCAGCTTGTCTTTGGCTCCAGGCAGGAAAGGGGTTGCCTGCGGAAAAGGAAGCGCGCCGGGGTGGCCCTGTGACCCGATGGCTGGGAAGGTCCCTTGGGAGCCAGCATAAAGCAGAGCAGCCTGGAGCAGGTCTAATTTCCATCCGAGACTAAGCTGACGTTTGGATGGTCTCAGGTGAGGGTGTTAAACCACTGTCGCCTTTGGCCTTCCTGAGGTGTTAGAAAGGCCGCTGCGATACTCCTGACACCTGCGACGGGCAGGCACGCGCTGCCGATCGAGCGTTGATTCCCCTGCGACATCGCAAGCCGCGCTCGGCGCCAGCCGGAGCCAGCCCAGCGCTCGGGAAGCCGCTTGCCGGCGCCGAGCATATGGCACCCGTAGGGTGAGAGCAGCAGCAGCATTAAAAATAGCAGCTGAGATTTGCCTGAGGACCTGCCAAGAACGGGCTGCTGTAAGGACCGAGGAAGCCGTGTGCCGACCCATGCTGGAAACGCCAGGCCAGCAGGGCCCATAAAGCGCGTGTCCCTGTGGCCGTCCCTACACCCTGCTCCTGGGGCAGAACGGTCACCAGCTGGAGCGTCTTCCTTCTCCCCACCTCTTCCTTCTGCAAAACACGGACAAATTCATCCAGGCTCTGTTTCTACAGGTCACCAGGCTAAAGAGGTGCCCCAGCTCCTCATGGAAACCAGCGATGCTCCGTCTCCCGCTTTCCAGACAGCTCTGTCCCTGGCTGGGACCCATGCTGTCACCCTCGGTGGGTCACCCCTGGTGCTGGCATCCCCTGATGCTGCTGGGTGCGTGGCCGGTGGCCCATGACCTTGCCTGGTGGCAGTGACCCAGCTTGCTGTCCTCCTTCTGCTCCTGCTGCCCTTCCTGCTTGAAGCAAAGCCCCCCTCTATCCCCTCTCCGCCAGGGCCGGGGCTTCCCTGGGGTTTTCCAGGAGGCACTGAGGGCAGGACGTGCTGTGTCTCCTGCCCAAGACAACGTGTCTCCTGAAGGGCTGGTTTGAAGCACTGGCAAATTACTCTTTTCCATCATGGAAATGGCCTGCCCAGCCCCTCTGCTGGCTCATATGCTGGGGGAAGCGCCAGACAACAACTACTTTAACCTTTCAGAAGCAGGAGGGTTCTCAACGTGGCTCATTTTCTGCCCTGCTTCGACTGCCCCGGCCTTTCTGGTTTCTCTTCCCCTGACTCATCTGTCCTGCATGGGCCCAGAGCATGAGCTCTTCACTGACACTTTCCCCACGGGACCAAGAACATCTCCTTGCCTCTTCACGCTTGCACGGACACCCCACCAAATCCTGGCAGAGAGGAATTATCTCCCGGGCCTGTTTTAAAACAGTCCTCTGCTTGCCCCGAAGCAAGCGGAGGTTCCCACAGGGATGCCCATGTGCCGCTCTGACCAACCCGCTCGGTCAGTGCCTGGTGTTGACGATGCCCATACCCTCCTTCTCTGGGTCGAATCTGTATTAATGATGCTGTTGTCATAGCTGCGTCACTGGTTCAGCGAGTTCATGCAAGTGTCCAAATTCCTTTAACCTCAGCATGTCCACAGGGTCGCTTGGGAACCTGGGGATTAGCCCGCAGGTGTCCCCTTTCCAGCTCCTCAGCTGTGCAATCACTCTGCTCCTCCTCCTAAAGCCTTTCAAGAAAGGCCTGCCAAGAGGACCAGGTTTTACCACTGTGACCTTAGCCCCCTAAGAAAAATATCGATTTTTCTTGCTCTGAAGATAATAATCCTCCGTAAGCTCCTGTTTCAAATATCGCCTGGAAAATCTCCTAAACGGTCTTGCCAAAGCAAGGCGGGCAGGCGACGCAGGGTGATTTGGGTCAGTTTGGTCTGGAGAAGACCAACACCAGGAGCCCTGGTCAAAGCAAGGCCCAGCACATGGCAGAGAGGGTGCAAGCCTGGGGGCACTGCACATCTGTCCAGCCCACTGCCTCCTCGAGCCCATGTTTTCCAATATCAGGCCGAGCTTTCCGTCGTGGTCCCCTCCCCGGGACATGGCAGGACCCCGATGCCACTGAGGAGCTCGGGGCAGGGGGAGCCCGCAGGGCTCAGGCGAGCGGGTGCCGGGGTGAACACAGAGCGACGAGAGGGAAGGGGGCCCGGCCTAGGGACCCTTGGGCACCCTTGGGACCTGTGGGTGACAGGGCAGGGGGAGCAGGGCCTGTGAGAAGTGCCGGAGTCAGAAGGACCCTGGGCTAGGGCGGGAAGGCTGGGAATGCCGCAGGGGGGCAGGGGGAGCCCGCAGGGCTCAGGCGAGCGGGTGCCGGGGTGAACACAGAGCGACGAGAGGGAAGGGGGCCCGGCCTAGGGACCCTTGGGCACCCTTGGGACCTGTGGGTGACAGGGCAGGGGGAGCAGGGCCTGTGAGAAGTGCCGGAGTCAGAAGGACCCTGGGCTAGGGCGGGAAGGCTGGGAATGCCGCAGGGTCTGGGGTGCTTGCGGAGCTGGAGGTCCCATGGGAGCCGGGAGAGCCCAGGGGACTGGAGGGCCCATGGGTGCTGCAGGCGCTCGGGAGCCTGGGTGTCCCTGGAGGCGCGTGTGGCCCTGTGGGACGTGGTGTGTGAGATGGTGGCAGGGCCTGACAGGGCTTGACGGGCTGTGTGACGGCGCTGACAAGGGTGACGGGGTGTGTGACAGGTGACGGGGTGTGTGACAGGTGACGGGGGGTGACAGGGCTGTGACAAGGTGTAAGGGGCTGCGAGCGGAGGCACAACAGGAGCTGTGGCAGGGACTGTGATGCGGGGGTGACAAGGGTTGAA